AAAAGTCATTACATTTTTTTAATTTACCGCTCGTTCGGAAAGCTGTCTCATCACAAGAAGAACGAGCAAGAAACTTGCGTGATGCTCTTTTAAATAATTTTATTATTATTTTACATTTTTAAGTTTAATTGTGTGAAATATTATTTCTATTAAGAGAGTTATAAGTTTATTTCATTATATATATACGGACAAATCACACAGATTGAGCTAGCCCCAAAGTAAGTTCGAGACTTGTGTTATGGGATACTAACTCAACGATTCTATATTTATAATAGATACATATATAGATAAACATCCAAGACCCAGGACAATCAGGAAAAGATCGTTTTCCATCATGACCTGGCCGGGGATCGAACCCAGGGCCTCCACGTCGCAGGCAGGCGTGTTGACCGCTGCGCCACGGAGGACGACAAATCTAAATGCAATTGATGATAAAAAATCATCCAAGCCGTATCAGCAGTGTCAAGTGTCGTTGACAGGGGAAAGTCACGAGCGATGGTCTAATGCAGGTGTCGGGGAAAGATAAGCGAGCACTTTACCAAATGAATGAGATCAGAAGGTTGGATGGACGACACCGCTCAGTCACCTGCCACTGGACACTCGACACTGTAAAACAGTTCTGCGTTTGGATCACATATTATGGTTATGAATAATTCACAAAGTCTGGTATCCTCTACGACACTTGATAAATGATATTTTTAAACGTTTGACAGTAAAGTATGGGTGAATTATCTGAGAAAAGAGAGTTTGTTTGTTCAAGTATATAATATACTAATGATCCGGCCCGGATTTACTGTAAATCAAATTTTTCTAAATAATATGTAACCTATTTCACTCGCTAATAACTACTAAATAACAGAATTTTTATCGTGCCTCCGATAAAACTGTTTATAACTACTCCTCTCCATCCAAAGGTTGTCTGGAAGAGATCGCTTTTAACGATAAGATCGCCCATCGTTTTCTCACTGTGATTATATCTTGTAATTGTTTATATTTATAATAAGTTTACTATTGTAATCTTTAGGAGGAAACAATAAAGAGTACTTTTTGTTTTAAAAAAAAATCGTCACAAAATGGACCGATAAAGAAGTAAATGTCTTATAGTTACTAATACAATATTTGAATTAATATCACGAAATAGCGTTCTTGCAAGTATCTGGAGTTTGTTTCGTAACTAGTAGTTTCTTAGTTCGCATAAAAATACGTATAGAATTTTAAACATCATATAAATAATATAATACTGTCACAAGAATAGACGTTATCCTTTGCAAAAACATTTGACTGATTTGGTCAAATGACCTATTGGATTAAAGGTGTTTTTTAGACTGCTTTTTCAAGAGCATTATTTCAAATTTTATAAAGAATTCAAATGTATTTTAGTTTTAAATTAATAAGTACAGGTTTAACTTACGTCTCGACTAGTTTCGGGATTAGTAAAAGATCCTTAGTCATGAATGACTGTGGTGCGAGCATACAGTGTCTACCCAGACGAAGAGGAAGACTACGGAGACCAGCCGCTTATACCCGAAAAGTTCCGAATTCCGTTTTTCGTATCTGTAACAATGCTGCAAGCGCCTACAGCTCACGCTTACCGAGGCACGTAGTCAGGCTCGTGTTCGCGTCACACTCACTCATGACGAAGGATCACGAATTGATTCCGAAACTAGTCGAACTTGATCAATCTAATTACACGTAAATTAATCCGGTAGTTTTTACATTAAAATATAATGTGTTCATATGAAATTTTTAACAATAAAGTAGATATATTTTAGGTTTAAACTTCAACATGAATCGAATATTCCATAAAGTTTCCAACGTACACGAATAAAATTAAATTCCTTATAGTGAGTGAAACAACTAAACGCTTGTAATATTATAAATTATGGAGATTCGTATATTACCTGTATAATTCACGAGACAAAACTATCTATTCAATTTACATCGCTAACGAATGACACGATACACAATGAGGAATGTGATTTCCAACAATCAGACAGGTTGCTCTCGTCGGCAGATGGGCACGACACTTAATTTTCAATAGTACACGAATAATTTTATCGTGACGTACATCTATCAATGGAATAGGATTACATCTACGAGCCAATTATCATAATGTAACATTGTATGAGTCAAATATTTACATAATAATATACATATAAAGTGTAATGAAATTGAGATAGGAAAGTTATGCGGTGTTTTACTGTCGCTTAATGAGAATGTATGTCTATTTATCGTATATTAAATTGAATGCATTGTCGTTATTTTTTAAAAGATTTTGAAGGTAAATTTAGGTTATAAGAATGTTTATTAATATTATAAAGGTTAAAGTGAGTTTGTTATCTTAAATCGCCTTAACAGCTTAACCAGTTAGTATGAAATTTGATATAAACGTGCTATATGGGATGGAGAAAGCTAGCTTTAACCCGCGACTTCGTCTGTGTGACTGGGATATGTTTATTGAGTGGGATAAAAGAAGCCTATATCCTTCTCCAATGTATGTAACATGTGTATACCAAATTTATTTTTACATTTACGATATTATTATGGGCTGAATATGGTGTTTCTTGTCATATCATTCTGTACATTCAAATCTTACATTATAGAGATAAAGTCTCCATACAAATGTTTCGAGAAAAGCGTGTCAACATGTTCATACAATTTTGCGTGATAAATAGTTATAAGTGATTCCTTTATAACTTATATATTTATTTTGACTTATGTTTTTTGCATCTTTTTTAAGCGTAAAAAATTCATTTTATTTATTAAATAATTACATATTATCTTTATTTTTTTAAGATAAATTGTGTGCATAAGTACATATATAGAACACTGATAAAAAAAACGAGTCAGCTAATTTGACAATTGGGTGTCAAAAACTTGATCCGTTTTTGAGATTTGATGCTCTATCTTTATATTCTAAGATTCAAATATATACAGTTTACATGATCAGCGTTGGTTTTTATTGTTCATTTGGGATCAAGAACCTGCTATTTTTTGTTGAACAAGACCTTGCATATTAATTAGCATTATGAGTAAGAAGGCAGTTGAGTTTAAGTGTAACTTATTTTAATAATATTTTTTTACCATCAATTTTGTAATATACAATTCAATTTGTTATTTTTTCCTTATTTCCTTTGACGATGGTTACTTTAAGCAGGACAAGTAATTGTTTTATATACTTATTAGAAAGATCCTAAAAAAATACAACCATAATGGTAAAACAATATAATATTTTTCTACGCATTCAGTCGAACTAATAACACAATTAACAATAGTACCTACTATTCGTGTATGTACAAAAGTCGATTGCTTGGATACCTCTGTCCCATTCGTGTTTCTACCGTGAAACAGTTGTGTTTGCATGACTGTGTTTCGGTTTGAAGGGTGGGATATGGCGTGAATTTACAGGGTACAGAGGAATAATACTTGAGTCCTCAGGAATGGCAACGCATGGGGGTATCATGGGCGAAACAGTATACTCTGTTATGTTCATGGTACTGCTCATGTTTATAGGCGACGGTTTCCACTTTACATCAGGTGGACCGTCAGCTTGTTTATTTATATATATATATATATATATATATATATATATATATATATATAATTGTTAATACACAAATGCCCACTGCTGAATAGGCCTCCTCTATAGACTTCTATAAGGAACGGTTCATACTTATATAAATATGATTAACTCTGTGTTATTTATAGTTGAACTGTAATCAATGTTACTAGTAATTACTAATTAGGTATTAAACATTATTACTTAGTTACTATTTAGTTGTTCCACTATTATTACAGACAAATGTTTGATCACATTTTAAATACACAATCGGGACTTAACGCGATTTAGTGTGTGTGTGTATATATGTTATCTCTAGATCAGTGTTTCCCGACCTTTTTTGTGTCATGCACCACTTGAACATTTCTAAAATTTTTATGCCCCCATTCATATTTTTCCCGAAAAAGTTAACTCTCCACTCTAATCGCCCAGTTGATATTTTGATCGCATCAAACAAAATCATACCTAATAAATATTTATAAAAAAATATTTTATTTACTTTTTTTTGTTAAATTTGGCACCGATATCTACTCGTAGCATTTAAATGGCTCAATACAAGAGTATTAATATCGCTTCGAGTCCATTTTTTAATTGCCCCCCTTTAATTATCAAATTGCCCTCCTGTGGGGCGTGGGCCCCACGTTGGGATACACCGCTATAGATAATAATGATGACAGTGTGATAGTACCCGAAGAGACTGCGCACGCTGCCAGACTAACTTCACCCCGCTAACTTTACCACGCCGTGGTGCAATCCACGTCGAAACGTCGGCAATAAAGAAGTAGCTATCCTATATAGCTGCTTCTACTATATATTTGTAAACAATTCGAAAGTTTAAAATTAAATATATGTTCATTTACCTCAATAAAGAATCAAACCGGTAATGTATACAGGGTCGTTGTTTTAAAGCCGTGCTCGTACCGACGCGAGATTGATGAGTGCCACGAATTATTCATGCGGCTGCGACGCGATTTATCTCCCGTGTAGGCAGTGGCAACGCCAAAAAAGCTGACAGTCGAGAAACTTACTACTTCGGGATAAGGCTGAAATTTGCTTAAAGTGTATAGGCAGTTACTTTAGTTGTCTACAGCATGAGCTTGCAGAAGAAGTAAGTACCGTGGGACCTGTTAAGTCTGTTGTTTAGGTCTTATCTTTTTTATTAGTACATATAAATGATATAAAATTATACAGTAGCTTAGTCAACATATTTCGCTTAAAAGTAACTAGGTAGACGAGGGAGGGAGGGAGAGGGAGACTTTGTACAAAAGTCAATTGCTTGGGTACCTCTGTCCCATTCGTGATTCAACCGTGAAGCAGTTGTGTTTGCATGGCTGTGTTTCGGTTTGAAGGGTGGAATATGGCGTGAATTTACTGGGTACAGAGGAATAACACCTGAGTCCTCAGGAATGGCAACGCATGGGGGTATCATGGGTAGAGATGGGCAATCCACCTGGGTGGGTTTAAAGTCTGGTGGGTAAAAACCGGGTGTTTTGGGTTTATTGGGTTTAAACCCCATAAACACCCAAATTTTTGGGTGTTTATGATTTTGTACTTCATCATCGTCATCTCAGCCGCAAGACGTCCACTATACTGGACATAGACAATATTATTATGCAGCCTACAGAATAAAAAACTTTTAATTTGATTTTGAGTTTATTAAGAAAGAGAAAAGTAAAATGTAAAACTACAGTCAATCACTGTCAGATTCAGAGTTATTACAAGCGATGAATTGTATAGGTTCGATAGGCTCTATTTCGTCTAAACTGTTATGTTCATTTACTTGCTCAATGAAAGCTTCTAAGGTATTTTCTTCATTAAACTGAATGTCCTCGCATTCAGCTTTATGTTTAAGATTCCAGTTATAACAAATGAATGAAATTTTTTCAGTTCTTTCGGTTGTAAGTCGATTTCTTTTGTTATTATGTATGTAGCCTTGGATACTAAAGGAACGCTCAGTGGCTGCCGAAGTACAGGGAGCTGATAGAATACGAATCGCTACTTTGCTTAACTCAGTGGAACCACAAATACCTTTCCACCATATTAGGGGCTCAATGCTATCTAATGAGCTCCATACAAATCCTCTGGCCCAAAAGTTTTCTTTAGCTTTATAACACGCCAAATCTGCCATTACATTTGACAAACTTAAGTGTTGGCTTAAATTGTAGATAAACTCCATACCCTTAAGTTCTTCCTCTTGAGTAAGTTCGACTCCTAGAGTCCTGGGGTCTAGAATATATGCTGCAAAATGTATTGGCCTCATTGCCATATTGCATCTTGAAGATACTGATGTTAGAATCTGCTGTTTGCTTTCTTCGCTCAATGTCGAAATCTCATTTAATGCAAAACGTATCTTAGCTTGTACATCTCTAAATGTAATGTATGTGCGATGCAAACGATTCTGGTCGCTCTCTAAGTAAAATATGCTTTCAGTGACTGGTTCCAAAATACTTATACATTCCCCTGTCTTCGTCCAGAAATCATCACTTAGAATTAAATCTTTAATATCTCTTGAAATTACCACATCTTCTCTAACTGTTAATATTTGCAAAGCTATCTTATTTGCTTTCAAACTTTTTAACGAAGTAACATGACTTCCCCATCTTGTAGCACAAGGCAATTTTAGTGTTTGTGTAGAATCTTCACCCTGCCTTGATTTTATCAACAAGGAACTTAATCGTTGACTCCTTTTAACAGTTTTTATTATATTTATGGCTTGCATAATAAACACAGTTACTTCTTGTATCTTTACAATATCTTGGCACAACAAGTTAAGGATATGTGCACAGCAACCGAGAGGAACAACATGTGGATATTTGAGTTTTGTTAATTCGAATGCCTTTTGTATATTTCTAGCGTTATCGCCAATAAGTACAAGAAACTTATTTGCTCCATACACTTTCATTACTTTTTCAACTTCTTGGCTAAGGTATTCACTAGTGTGAGGATTACTTTCTGTATTCAAACTTTTAACGTATGCAGGTTGAGGTTTTGATATAAGAAAGTTTATTATTCCTTCATTTCTTAAATTAGACCAGCTATCGCACTGAAGGTGTAAGTAACTACAAGCATTTAGTTCCTCATTTAACTCAAAACGCATTTCTCTATATATTTTATCTAAGTATTTTGTCGCTAAAGCTTTACGTGAAGGTATTTTAAATTTTGGTTGCAATTTTTCGAAAAATTGTATCCATAAAGGATGTTGCACCATCGATAATGGCGTCCCTGTTACAAATATAGCTCTCGCTAATTCTGTTTTTATATGATCATCGGTGTCTTGAAACTCAGCATTTATTGTAGTGTTAGCAGACGACGAGGGGCTTATAAAAGAATCATTTGTCTCTATCTCTGACAGTCCAGACATTTTGGTTTTGGACGAGCTATCTTTTATAAGTTTCATAGAGTCTTTTAATGTTTCTGGAGATTTTGGACAAGTGATAAGATGTTGAAGCATTTTGGCAGCATTACTGAATTTGTAGACCTTATTACAAAGCTTGCAAGAAACAGACTTGTTTGGTAAAGTACGGTAGTGCTCCCATATGCGTAAATCTTTAGGTCTCCCCATTGAACCTAAAAAAATGAACGATGATTAGTTGGTCTGACGAAAATTCAACAATAGAGTGCCTATTTTTTTACAATGATTATTTCTTGTTATTTACAATAAATTTATTAAAAAAATAATAAAATAAATACAAAAAACCTTTGTAAAATTACATCTCCTCGGAGGATTAAACGCAGACGCTAGTTTATTATCGTATTGTTCTGTATTTTTCTCAGCAACTTCTTTAATTCGATTAGGTACTTACGCATATTATGTTAAAAATAAATATCTAGTACACATCTTAGGCTATCCACCATTATTATCCAATGACGACTCTCAGCTAACTATGCACTATCATCCAAAATAAACGTGTATGGAAAATTTTATCCCAGTCGGTTGAGGATTGAGGATAATTGCATCAACATACGAACATACCTACATACTTTTATTTACATAACGCAAGCTAAATAAAAGCTTGTAATAATACATCTAATTTTAAGTTAAAATTGTTAAGTGATCATGATATAATTGTATCATTCAAAAATCCACTTACCTTTAATTATTTCTTGTTAAGTATAAATATTATTTCAAATCTGCTCCCTTAATATGCACTTTTTTACTGCTTTTCCTACCTAACACGTTACCAGGAAGTCACGTTACCAGAGTCAGAGTAATAGTGAACACGTTTGACAGTGATTGTCGTCGCCTCATATTCAGCGTCGACGAATAGGGGAATCCCCAGTCATAATGTATTGCATGCGTGGCGGTCTTACTTCAAATCCATAAACAAAGAGATAATTACAGAACTCGATACTAGATGGCGCTGTTTTTGTTTGAAGAAAGTTTGCGGGCTAAAATACATAGAATTTCATCAATGACTTCCACAAAGAACAACATTTCTGTTTTTTCTAAGTCCGTATCTCTTCCGTATATTTCATAAGATATAAGCTTGGGCTACATTGTTATGCAACGTGATTTTGTCGCTGTCTTGCTAGCAGGGTTGACAGATATACGATTTAAATCGTACTCATACTATTATTTGTCTATTTTTTAATGTACGATCGTAAAGATTATGATCGTAATTCGCACAAAAACATACGACTTTTTGGTTACCTGGCAACATTTTTATTATGAAACGAACATGCTCACATCATCAGTCACATGCAACAATTTATTGGGGATTTCCCCTTCACATCTGGCAGTCCTGCTTGCTAGAATATAGGTAAGTCAGCCACAGTTACTGACGATCGATATTTAAAGGGTATTGTTTTTGTGCTAAATATTTCATAAAAACGTTATTTAATACTTTGTGGATTATTAATTTAGTTGATAATCACTGGAAGTAAAATGGATGCTAATTTGAGAGATCAAGATCTTCGTATAAAACAGTTAATAAAAGAAAATCTACGTAAGTACTCTTTTTATACCTAGGTAGGTAAGGTATAATAAACACAAAAGGTACTTAGATCGCGTGTGTTCGAAGCATTTATTCTAATAAATTTAATTTAAAATTGTAGAAAGAAAAAAATGTCTGCCAAGCCGTAGCCGAAGCCGATCTCCAAATATATTTGGCGATAGTGAGACCCAGTGTCCAGATGATTTACCCAGCGTCGTCGCAACAAAGAAAAAACACGAGGATAAAGTAAAAGAAAATTTACTGAAAGAAGAAACAAACTGTTCTAAATGCTTAATTTATGGAGAAGAGGATAAAAGAAATGAGTATTTCGGACTGTTAGTGGCTCAAGAATTTAAATATATACGGCCATGTGTGCGAACGAGGTGTTATGAAGAAATTTTAAAGTATCTACGGGAAGCAAAAGGCCAACATGTTGATCAACTGCAACATGAAAACACTGAAAATTAATTACTTTCATTTTATTATATATAGATTTTTAAAATTTCCTGAAATATTATTAGTTAACGTTTTATTTAATATTGTAGAATTGATCAATACAATTTATAAAAATAATTTATTGGTATTACTTACATATTTTCAAAAAAATACGTAAAAACCTATTTTTTTGGGTGATTATGGGAGTTTATGGGTGTTTATTGGGTTTTTACCAAAGCACCGGGTTTAAACCCGGTGCTTTGCCCATCTGTAATCATGGGCGAAACAGTATTCTCTGTTATGTCCATGGTACTGCTCATGTCTATAGGCGACGGTTACCATTTTCCATCAGGTGGGCTGTCAACTTGTTTGCCATTCTAAGTTGCATAAAAAAGGCGTTTATAATTTATAATGAAATAAAGAAACTTTCGTAAAAAAGTACATAGATGAACCCTGTGAATATTACGCATTTTTTTTTAATAGAAATAGTAATAATAGCATGTTAATAATGTTAATGATCATGCTATAAAAAAGTGATACTCCCAGAGTACGTATCACATTTCTATATCATCGATCATCTAATAAACAGGGTAACACATTAAAAAGCGATGGCGGTGTCGTTGATGGAGTGAAATAAATAAATATAGGGTGGACTCGGCGGATGATCCCGCTTGATTGATGCATTGTGTGACAACGCGCTGCCAAGTACTTGCGTATTAAAGTCATTCATATATTTCCAGAGAACTGAACTGAAAGAGCGAGCTCTGTAATACTCACTCGAGGAGAATTCAAATTAATTAATCTACTTTTGTTCAAATGTATTAATTAATAAGCAATGCTGTAGATTACACGTGGTAAACTTTTTTTTTTATACAACTTAGAATGGCAAAAAGGCTGACCGCCCACCTGATAGAAAGTGGTAACCGACGCCTATAGACATAAGCAGTACCATGGACATAACAGAGTATAGTGTTTCGCCCATGATACCCCCATGCGTTGGCATTCCTGAGTACTCAGGTATTATTCCTCTGTACCCTGTAAATTCACTGCCATATCTCACCCTTCTATAAACTATATATAAATCTGTTTATTGATAAGTGGGTTGCTTGTGAAGAGTTGGATTTGTATTCTTCATTGATTTAGATGAATCTTCTGGCATTTGATAAAAATTACTCCCCTGTTATATACACTTTTGTCATAATTGTATTAACTATTTTTTTGTGGATCAAAATTGGTAGTTTGAACCACCGATAATGATTTAAGATAAGAACAATGTAATTTTTTTAACTAATACTTATGTTGGAATGATTTTTTTGGTGGGTGAAAATGGTATGGTAACCCCGCCTGCGCTAAAGGGATACGTTGGCGGAGCACCAGTGAAGGGTGATAGATGAGAATGAAAACAGGCCAGTTAGCCCATCATGATGAATTCATCAGGAACCATGATAGTTTCCAGAGAGAACCGCGAGGAGGTCGATCTGGTTGGGTATATTGTTAGCAATGGGATTCTTAGTCTCCATTACTAACAATCCCTTTCCCCCCGTTGGAATGATATTAGAAAATAAAATTGTAGGTATACTTAACAAAAGATTGTATAAAAACAGAAAAAAAAACAACTTCAAATGTGATAAAACTAGTTATTTTGATATAAAAACTAAACCACTAAACCCATTTTGATAATATTTCTACGCAACCAGTTTGTAAGTATCCTTTCAGACAAAGAATTTTCCAAATTGGTTTAGAACTGACGGAGTTATGAGGCAACAAATATGAAAGTAATTTTTTTTTCTTTTACAACACAAGGGGCAAACGAACATGCGGCTCACCTGATGGTAAGCGACTACCGCCGCTCATGGTCACCCACAACACCTACGGTGTGCTGCCGACCTTCTAAAAAGGAATATGCTCTTTTCTTGAAGGTTATGTTGTCGTATCGGTTCGGAAATACTGCTGCTGGAAGTTGATTCCAAAGAGTGGTTGTGCGTGGGAGAAAGTGCCTTGAAAAACGCACGGTGGAGGACCGCCACTCGTCCAAATGGTTGGGATAAAATTTTAGTTTATGGCGGTTGTACGATGGTGAAAATCAACAGCAGGTATCAATCTAAACAATTCTTCAGTGCACTTCCCATGATAAATTTGGTAGAAGTTGCACAGAGATGCAACATCTCTGCGCATCTCTATGAAAATAAATATAAGTGAATTGAAAAACTCCTCCTTTTTAAAGTTGGTTGAAAAAAGATTAAACGATCCAGTAAGACTTGAGAAAAACTATTTTCATATTAGTATACACTGACAATATACTACCTCTATGAAGCAACACAAAGCGAAATAAACACAGGGTCCTCAAACGACGCGGGCTCGGCTGGACAGGACGGTATGCGACCAATTAACTAATTGTGACTATTTCTGACGGAATTACTCCGTGCAATACGCAATGTAGGTAGTAAGTACCTATATTGGCTGTCGAGTTGTCACGTCTACTCCGACCTCGTTTATTTGAGTGACTAGGGCTGTTGTTAAGCTCTATATAGATAAAAGACGCGTGTTAAATTGTCCTATATGTCTATGCGGATGGCTTAAATTAAGGACACCACCTATTTAATTTTTTGGTGACAGTTTAGCAGAATTATACTAGATACTTGTCGCATTCGTGTTTCTACTTTGAAGCAGTTGTATTTGCATGACTGTGTTTCGGTTTGAAGGGTGGCATATGGCGTGAATTTACTGGGTACAGAGGAATAACACCTGAGTCCTCCGGAATGGCAACGCATGAGGGGTATCATGGGCAAAACAGTAAACTCTGTTATGTCCATGGTACTGCTCATGTCTATAGACGACGGTTATCACTTTCCATAAGGTGGACCGTCAGCTTGTTTGCCATTCTAAGTTGTATAAAAAAAAATACTAAAAACTATCCGAAGATCCTAAGATCAATTCTCCACCTAAACAACTGAATATCTGAGATTTTAATAACAATTTATGATTATGTTCATCATCCTCAACATCATCATATTAGCCTTTAACTGTCCACTGCTGAACATAAGCCTCCCCTTGGGGGGGGGGGGGATGCCCGTAGTTGCCCCCCTTGACAGGCGGATTAGCGACCGCAATTAGGCTTTAGAGATATTTTAAGAGAGACGCTGGTGCTCATCCCTCGCCTGTTTTTTTTTTGTACAACTTAGAATGGCAAACAAGCTGACGGCCCACCTGATGGAAAGTGGTAACCGTCGTCTATAGACATGAGCAGTACCATGAACATAACATAGTATACTGTTTCGCCCATGATACCCCCCATGCGTTGCCATTCCTTAGAACTCAGCTGTTATTCCTCTGTACCCTATAAATTCACGCCATATCCCACCCTTCAAACCGAAACACAACAATGTAAACACAACTGCTTCACGGTAGAAACACGAATGGGACAGAGGTACCCAAGCAATCGGATTTCGTACAAAGTCTAGTTAGTTTTATTAACAGTTAGCTGTTGATAAATATCGTAGTATGCGAATTCTTGTATATAAATTTAGTGAGCATCCAAAAAGTACAGTTTAATCAAAACTTTTAAAGTCGGTTAATTATGATACAAAATTGTATAAAAGCAATCCTTTACAGCATACCTGTAAATATATAATCTCGGCTTATAACATCATCAGATTCAATTAAAATGTACGCCTAATTCAGTACATCTCGTTGATCCAACAATAATATTTCAATCATCCATCGAGCAATTTGTCTGGACGCGGTAGCGACTTCTGAGGGCTTTATTAAGTCGAGTGACTGCTGGATACGTATTATTGTTGTCTGTGACGTTAATAAGCTTGGGCTGCGTGATGTGTCTCCTCATTATCCACTAATAAATTGGTCCTTCGCTCCCGGATCGCTACTCTATTGTGAGGGTAATAAAACGATAAAAATAACTTATAAATAATGTGCCTTATTACCAAACTTCTGCGATCTAGAGGCTGGCAACTGGAAGCTCAATTGTCGTAAAGACAAGTCGTTGATACGTTGCTTCAATATAAAAACTACAATGATGATAGAGAAGTCTTCGATCGAAGTCCTATCCAAAGCTAATATGAGTATATAATACATGTGAACTATTAAAAACAAAAAGCGTTTTTTGATGGGTGAAAATAGTATGGTAACCCCACCTGCACTAACGGGATATAGATACACTGGCGGAGCACCAGTGAAGGGTTATAGAAGAGAATGAAAACAGGCCAGTTAGCCCATCGTAATGAATTCATCAGGAATTAACCATGATAGTTTCTAGGGAGAACCGCGAGGTCGACCTGGTTGGGTATATTGCTAGCAATGGGATTCTCGGTCTCCATTACTAACAATCCCTTTCCCTCCAACAAAAAGCGTTAGGTACCATTATATTTTTTTATACTTTAATATGTTTTATTTACATATATTAATTATCATTTAATTGAATCTGTAAAATCAATATTTATTAATGAGTAAACAAGTATAATAATACCATACAGCTCTTCATCTCTGTAGGCGACAAGAGGCACTTTCCATCACATGGGATTTCAGATTTTTAACCACTATTAAAGAAAATATATAAAATTGATATAATTTTAGTCATGCTTAAAACTTTAATATTACAAAGAAATAATTGCAAAATAAAATGAAATGCTTATAGCAAAAATATAGATATCAGCATTGTACAAGACAGGGCAAATAACTTTTTCGTCTAATGATATTATGTTTCCATTTAGAACAAAAATAGAACAAATAAGATCCTTAGGGCCTTATATAAAAGATAACATCTCGTTCGACCTCTATTACATTTTTAGAGTTCTGTAACTTGAATAGAAAATAAGGAACCCTTATCTCATTTTATTGTCTTTCTGTCTGTCTCTCTGTCAAGACCATTCTTAAGAACGCTTGGAGTTATGAAGCTGAAATTAATATATATTAAATAGTTGTTTGCAATCCCTCGAAGTTGTAAAAAACAACAAACTTTTAAGGCAACACAATCAAAAGATATGGCTGTTTATAGTTAATATTTTGGCATTTGGAAGAGATTCTAAATCTATAGGATACTTCCAATAGATTGATATAGAATCCATATAATTGTGAAATTTGACAGGAAGCAATGTTGTACAGCAAAAATAGAGGGGAAAATGTGAAAAATCTCGTTGCAGTCGTAGCTTATCGCTACATCACAAAAAAGTATTTCGTTTTGCATATATTTTTTTTTTTAATTATAATTTGTTCCGAACCTTCGGTGTGAGAGTTCGACTCTCACTTGGT